GTCCCTCTGGGTAGCTGGCTGTGACCAAGTAATGACCATAACCTTGCCCCTTGTCAGCTCTACTATACACCTGGGAATTCTGATCATTCACATAGACAACTTCATCTTGTGCTTAGTTGTCTTCTCCTTGGAGAGGCTTGGTTATTTGTTTTTATTGATAAATTTTCATTGTAGTTAAAATTGATTCCTTACTGTGGCAAATAAAGCAATACATTTTCTGGCTTAACCTCTCCTCCCTTATTCTCTACTTACAAGTCCACTCAGAGGCCTTTCCTGATCAAAATTTATAGCTAGTTGTGTCTTTTTACCAGTGGCTTAACATACTTAAAATCCAAACTCCTTACTGGAACACACAAAACCCTGTATCATCAGGCCACTACTGACGTTCTCAATCTCTTTATATGTTTATATCCTACCTCCTTAGGCTTTCTTGGTTCATAGTTAACAGTTATTTATGTGTGGGTTTACTAGTAGCATTCCTGCAAAATTAAAGTAAAATCCCAGGCTCTGCTCATTGCTGCTTTTGTGCCTCCCACGTTGAGTGTCTCTTCTCCTTTGCTGGCAGACGCTACGTGGCCAGGCCCAGCTCAGATGATGAAGATTATGGAGATGAGAAAGGTGAGGAAGAGGAGGGAGGAAGGCTTCACAAGGATGAGAGCCTGTACAAACAACCCTCTGGCTTAAGTGAGGGTGAGGGACTGCGGGTCAGGAGTTAGGGGATCTGGAGTAGATCTGACTGACACAGGGTCCATCTGGATGAGCTTTATAGCTCTGACCATTTCTCCTGTTCTAGGAGACACAGAGAATAAGGGCAACATCTCCAAGCCTGGCCAAACTGCTGGGAGCAGCCTTCAAGACTCTGGGCCAGAGCAGGCTGGGCCTAGCTCTGGAGTCATGGGCAGGAATCGGGCCCCTGCAGACAACTCCCCTGGCCCTTCTAACTGGCCCCAGAGGTCCCGGCGCAAGCAGCTGTTCACCCTGCAAACAGTGAATTCCAATGGGACCAGTGACCGCATGACCTTCGGCGAAGATGGCCATGGTGTCTCCTTCATCTGTGAGCCAGGGTTGGGGAGGTGGGTGGAGGGTTTTCTTGGCAACAGTTTCTATTGACCACCTACCCCTCACTCCTAGCCCAGCCGTACATTGCCATTGACTGGGAGCCAGAGATGAAGAAGCGTTACTATGATGAGGTGGAGGCTGAGGTAAAAGAGATCCCAGGGATGGGGACATGTACTTTCTCAGTTCTTTACACATCCCCTCCTACAACTCCTCCAGCTATGAACAGAGCCAGGAGATCAGGTCCAGGTCCAGTTCCAGCCTAACTGTGGAACCTGCACACCCACTAAGAACTCCCAGGGCCTCAGCTTCCTAAGCTTCCAAGTCCATGTTCTTAACCATTCAGCATGTGTCTTCCATCTTTACTCTCTATATATAATCTACTCATTCTCATGCCCAGCTGTCCATTCATCTAATTCTAGGGCTACGTGAAGCATGAATGTGTTAGCTATGTGCTGAAGAAAGCGCCGGTGCGGCTCCAGGAGTGCATTGAACTCTTCACCACTGTTGAGACTCTGGAGAAGGAAAACCCTTGGTAAGGGGCCAGAATGGGAGCTATGGAGGTATAGGTGGTTGTTATTACATGACCAGTTCTCTGTTACATTCTCAGTACATTTCCTTCTACTCTCCTTGTTCAGACCTTTCCTACCACACTGGCCACCAACATCTTAAGCATATTCCCACCACAGTACTTTTGTGTGGGCTGTTCCTTTTACCAAGGATATGCTTCCCCCAGTTGTCCAGAGGATTCTACTTTCCTTTGCTCTGATCTCTGATCAAATGTCACTTTATCAGAGAGACCTTCTCTTATTGCCCTGTCAAAAGACATGTTTTCTACCCATCCATCACCTCTCTCCAATTCTTTTTTCATGCTCTTTTCTTCCTAACGAAGTATTTATTTCTAGCTCAGTGGTACCACTTAGTAATACCAATCAATGTCATGTCACATATCCCCTTTTGTGGAATTGCTTGTTGTCTATTAGGGAGTTAACTCTTTGAGGGTGAAGACTTCTAAGTTGACTGTGTGTCTAGTCTCACTGTTTTTAATAGTGTTAGATGTGCAGTGGATACTTGCAGAGTAAACAAGTAAAACACAAAGAGAGAACCCAAAATATAAATCCAGTTTCAAAAGCAAGACCAGCCTCTCCATGGGCCAGAAATGGAGCAAGAATATAAAGTAGTACCAAAGGGTTTAAACAGTAGGTAGTCAATAAATAAATAATGAATGAATGAATAAAAGATGAAGAGAAAACTAGAGAGATAGAGGCAGGCTCTTAAACTAGCATCTCTGTGGACCAGAAATCAAGCAAAAATACAAAATAGTACAAAAGCGTATATAAAAGATGAATAGATGAAAAAAACTTCAACATGTGTAGAAAGCAGGCATGTAAAGAGCAAGCCCAGGGTAACAGGCAGGCTAAAAAGCAAACATCTCTGGACCAGAAATATAACACAAAGGCCAAAAGTAGGTGTTCAGAAGTGTCTGTTTACTGACTTAGGCTCTGTCTGTAGGTACTGCCCCAACTGTAAGCAGCACCAGCTGGCCACCAAGAAGCTGGACCTGTGGATGCTGCCTGAGATCCTCATTATCCACCTGAAGCGCTTTTCCTACACCAAGTTCTCTCGCGAGAAGCTTGACATCCATGTGGAGTTCCCTATCCGGTCTGGTGCAGGGTGGGGTGAGGGGGGAAGATGGCTGAGGGGAAGCCAAGGAGTTGGCTAAGGTATTAACCCTCTCTTCATCCTCAGAGACTTGGACCTCTCTGAGTTTGTCATCAAACCGCAGAGCGAATCAGATCCGAAGCTGTACAAATATGATCTCATTGCAGTTTCAAACCATTATGGAGGCCTGCGTGATGGACACTGTATGTGCTGGGCAGGAATTCCCTGGGGGTTGTGAGGAGGTCCTTAGGGGGTGACTTAGGTATGTGAGCCAGTGCTGAGGTTATCATGGTTGGAGGAGTAAGAGTGAATCAGGATGCCTCTTAGGGGCATGAAGGTAAGTGTGGGCAGCTCTCCCCTCTCTTACAGACACAACATTCGCCTGCAACAAGGATAGTGGCCAGTGGCACTACTTTGATGACAACAGCGTTTCTCCAGTGACTGAGGATGAGATTGAGGTGTGATTTCCATCCCCCTGTCTTCCATCTTGCTTTCTCTGGCCCTGCCCTCCAATCCACATTGACTGTTGTCTTCTCCCTGCAGTCCAAGGCAGCCTATGTCCTCTTCTACCAGCGCCAGGATGTGGCACGACGTATGCGATCCCAACCCAGCACATCTGGTCCCCCAGCACCTCCTGCCTGTGGTTCTCCACCCAGCTCTGAGTCAATGGATGTAAACTGAGGAGTTCTGCATCCTGTCACACAGAGGGAACCATCTTTACCATCCCCCTCCCTGTGTCTACCACCCATTCTCTTATCCATGTGAGGTGCCCCTGCCTTATTCCAAGCTCAGTCGTGGCCGCTGTTGTCATGTGCTGCTATATTGCTCTCCGTAAGGGGAGGGAGAGGTCCTGTCGCTTCCCCAGGCACAGTGTTCCCTGCTTGTGTTTCCCCCTTAGAGCAGCAGCCCTCCCCTCCTGTTTTTTTAATTTATGGTTGTCCCTTTTCCTCAGCCTCTAGGGTGTTCTAGCAGGGTGTGGGTGTATCTGAACACACTGTGTTTTCTTACTAATATCCTGTTTGCTCCCCTGTATATATATAAAGGTCCAGTCTGTTCCTCATTCTGCAGTGTTTTTTTTTTTCTCCCTGTGCATTTACTAAGCACTAACTATATGTTTTACTATGTTCTGTGTGTTTGTTGAATGCCAGCTGTGTGATAGGTGCTGCTCTGAGTACTTGAATACCAACTATGTACCAGGTGCTTTTGGAAGTGCTTTTAAAGCACCATTTATATGCCAGACACTATTCCAAGCACCAAATTGTATACCCATTTTTTTCCAGAGCATTTAACAAATACTGACTCAGTACTCTATGATTTCATGACTCATTTGTCATCTCTAGTTTCAGATGGGGAAAACTGAAGTACAAAGGTCAAGTAATTGCTCAGGTTTTTTCAGGAAGTCAGTGCATTTCTTCAGTTACACAGGAGTTGGTCCCTGGAGGGGGGTGTCTGAACTACCTGGACCACGACTGCACATCTTTCTGTGGCTATGACCTGTCCTGCAGCTGGTGTAGAGGGTACACCCGCCCCATATTGGCAAACCTGACAGGGCACATGTGCTGTCTTTGTTGTCCCTGTGACTGACACCTCTCCCACTATGACCCCAGTTTCTCACCAGGCAGGATCCCTCCAGCCTACCCCAGTGGTAAACGATACAGAGCACCTACCACAGAATGGGCTGAAAAGATGAAAAGCGTAGTGTTTCTGAGCATAAGATGTCATTTAAGCACTAGACATCTCCCACCTGACTCCTCCCATAGGAGCCAACTCTGAGCATCAGGGCTCCCAGCTATGGGCTGGAGAAGAGTAAACAAATGTATGGTACCTGGTTATAAATAAGCAACCCAACCCTTCACACTAAGGAAGGTAATCCTGCTCAGTGGCAATTGAGAGACCATTCCCCTAGTAATGCCTCAACATTTCCCACAGCTTGCCTTTGCATTGGATCTAATGGGATCCACTCTGTCACTCAGTCTCAAGATCACCACCCACAAACTACCCAGTCACACTTGACACAGATAAGAATCAGTTGCTAGTGAAAAGTAACAGGTAAAAGTAGAAATTAATGAATAGTTTCATGCACTAACTATGTGCCTAACTTTTACATGTTTATTGAATGCCAGCTGTGTGATGGGTGATACTCTCGGTGTTTACTGAGTACCAACTATGTGCCAGGTGCTTCTATGCTTGTAAAGCACCTTCTGTATGCCAGACGTCCAAAAAGCCGGACTACCTGAAGAAGAATGCAGCATCAGGATTGGGGGATGATTCATTAAGAACCTTGTGATATGCAGATGACACAAATTTGGTGAACGTGAAGAGGACTTGAAGCACTTACTGATGAAGATCAAAGGCTACAGCCTTAAATATGGATTATACCTCAACATAAATAAAAACCAGTGAGCAACATTATGATAAATGGAGAAAAGATAGAAGTCAAGGATTTCATTTTACTTGGGTTCACAATCAACAGCTGGAATCAGCAGTCTAGAAATCAAATCACATTTTGCATAGGGCAAATGTTCTGAAAAAGACCTCTAAAGTGTTAAGAAGCAAAGATGTTGCTGACCCTCTACTTTACCAAGCATGATATCCTTCTCCAGGGAACGGTCCCTTCTGACAACATGACCGAACTACAAGAGACAAATGCCACACCATTCCTCTTCAATTTGTCATTCCTGGCATAGTAGACCATATGATTGATTCAAAGTGGCCAATACCAGTCCATTTCACCTCACTCATGCTTAGGATATTGATCATCATGCTTTCCATTTCATTTTTGACAGCTTTTGATTTTCCTAAATTCATACTTTGTACATTACAGGTTCCAATTATTAATGGATGTTTGCAGCTGTTTCTTCTCACTTTGAGTCATGCCACATCAGCAAATGAAAGTCGTGATAGCTTTACTCCTTCCAAATCATTAAGGTTGACTCTGCTTTGAAGAGGCAGCACTTCCCCAGTCATATTTTGAGTGCCTTCCAAACTGAGGGCCTCATGGCACTATATTGAACAGTGTTTCACTGCTATTCATAAGGTTTTCAGTGGCCAGTTTTTTCGGAAGTAGATGGTACTGCCCCTCTTCCCAGTCTTAGTCTGGAAGCTCTGCTGAAACCTGTCCATTACAGGTGATGCTGGTATTTGAAATACTGGTGGCATAACTTCCAGGTTCACAGCAACATACACCACTTGTCTGTCAGTTTTTTGTACTGTGGTGGCTTGAGTATGGTGGTTCCCCATATTAGATAGCCAATTTCTAAATTTCCCATCCCTATCAAAACAGTGCTGAGGAGATAAGCAGGTTCCTTTCTCTGAAGAATCTTCCATTCCAGTTAGAACTTCGAACAACTGCATCCATAAGCAAAGTCCAATCCAGAGCAAGCCATCAAATTGCAGCAATTTGCACCAGCTCAGTGTCAAATATCTTTCTCTTCATTCGGTCAGGTTCTGGTCACCTCTGCCTTAGCCATCCAAGCTAGATCAATGGGTACCAGCCATAAGCTTGGCAGTTCACACAGCTCCCTGCACTTCAGGCCAGCCAGCCCCTTCTTTCGTATCCGTAGCCCTCATGGGTTAGTTCATTGTGCCCATAAGCTCCGGAGTTCACGCAGCTCCCCGCATTGATTCAGACCAGCCAGACTTTCCACTCGTCCCTAGGCTAGGTCAATGAATACCAATAGAACATGTCCAAACTCAGCTGGTCTCTTCATTGCAGTACCTCCCCCACTTCCACTCATCAAGTGGACACAGGTGGACAAGTGAACATACCAGGCTGTCCACTTACTGGCTTCCTTTAACTTCCAGTCCTGGAAGAGTTTTTTTCTGATGGCCATCTGACTTTTCCTGTGTCAATGCATCCAAAGACAAACCTTGAAATTGAAAAAGCAAAACTATTTTTTCCTTCAGGACCTTCCTTTAAATTGTACTTGAAATACTGGTGGCATAGCCTCCAGCTTCACAGAAACACACCCCACTTCTTTTTCAGTTTGTATCCCTTTCAGCACTTTTGGGTGGGTCGGTATTTCTTTTCAAATGGAAATTTCCCAACTCTGAAGGTTTTCAACCTAAGCCCCAAATACTCTATATACAGGACTACTGCAATCAAAGAAACAGCTTGTTTTTTTTTTTTTTTTTTTTTTTTTGCCCTTTATTGGTCCCCTTCTAGCATATCCAATCTAGTATTGGCTGAAGGCAGAGTTACAAGCTCTCTGTGATCTGTAATACCATTATTCATTTCTATCTTCAACTAGATAAGAGAAACATTCAATATCCATAGTGCATAAAGGTAAGCACATAACCCTTTTTGAAACATTCTGGTTTCATCTCTCCACACCTGAACTATCTTCTTATTCATATGCATATGGCCTTGGGCCTCTGGCTGAGTGGAACCACAAGCCACTATCCCACTATCAATCATCCCTTTAATGGGCCTGACTCTTGCCTCAGACTTTTCTCCCCTTAGTTGCTGCATAACATCTCTTTTTTTCTTTCAGCCGTTACAGGTAACAAACTAACCATTTAAGAATCAAAGTTTCACTTCCCAGCCCCCTTCATTTTTTCTCTTATACAGTGTCATGGTTTCATGAGTCAGGAGCCGATGCAACAAATCCTACTTCTGATGCCAACTGCAAAAAGAGGGTTGGGGTGACATAGTCATCTGAACTAGCTTCACAAGGGGGAAAGAAAATCGCCATCAGCAGCCCAAGGCTGATTCATATGAGGCAGAGATCAGACATACCCCTACCCTCCAACCATTTTACCAATTCTAATACCAACTGTTCCTCCCAGCGGTACTCTACTTCTCTGCTGGGCTGGATAATTTGATAATTTATTGCAATGACAGTACTCACTATTAAAGGGTTTATCAGGAAAGTAACAGGTTACAATTCAGGTCCAGAAAACAACTCAGGATACAGTTCTTCAATCAGGACAGCTTATTCTCAGCTGTGCCGCAGGCATATTTCTCTCTTGGCCTTGGTGTCTGCCCTGCTTGGGCCAGTGTTACAGAGCTCTTTCAGCTTTGCTGATAGGTGCCCAGAGCAGGCAGGTGCTCCTGCCTGAAAGCACTCAGCTTTCTTCAGTCCATGGGTTGGGA